AGAGGGCCAGAAGGCTATGAATAAGCTAGGGAAATGCTGTAATTCAATAAAGAAAGGGAAAAAATGAGTCACAGAAGGGCCGCAATGGCCGGCGCACTGCGCCAATCTGAAGCCAGGAGCCAGGCGCTTACCCCTGGTCTCCCATGTGGGTGCAGGGCCCAAGCACTTGGGCCATCCTCCACTGCCCTCCTGGGCCACAGCAGAGAGCTGGACTGGAAGAGGGGCAACTGGGACAGAATCCGGTGCCCCAACAGGGACTAGAACCTGGGGTGCCGGCGCCACAGGCAGAGGACTAGCCAAGTGAGCCACGGCACCGGCTGATCTGTCTATGTTTAAAGACATATGAAGAGGTGTCAGGTGGGAGAGGACAAGCTAGAGAGGCAGGAGAATGTGGGGAGGGAAGGAAATATTTTTTTTTGACAGGTAGAGTTATAGACACAGAGAGAGGACAGAGAGAAAGGTCTTCCTTCTTTTGGTTCACTCCCCAAATGGCCACTACGGCTGGCGCTGTGTCGATCTGAAGCCAGGAGCCAGGTGCTTCCTCCCGGTCTCCCATGCGGGTGCAGGGGTCCAAGCACTTGGGCCATCCTGAGGGAAGGAAATTTAATCCTTCAAGGCTCCCTCTGGGCTAGCAGGGTGCTGGTTGATTTTATTATTATCTTATTTAGCCTTCCCAATAGCTTGTGAGGTAGCCAATAAGTGTCTCATTTCACTTACTGTGGCTTTCAGGAGAGGTCTGTTGTGATGGTTTTGAATAGAGGAGTCCAGGTCTGCCTTAGCCTGTGCTCCTTGCATTGTACTTCTTGGCTATTGGGCATGAGTTGGATCTAGAGCACAATGCATGGTGTTGCCTTACAAAGGAGGCTGTGCTGAGGGTGCAGGGAGAATTGTAGAAGTTTCGTTTGCATGACTTGATTTAGTCTGTGGCCTGCAAACTAATATGGAGAACATGACAATAGGGATGAATAGGATTGGGGAAGGTCACATGATGAATGTGGTTATGGCTAGGGGTGGAACATGGACACAGAAATCACTAACTACTGTGGAATGCTGGGGAAGGCCTCCATGTAGTTGGAAGAGGGATGAAAGGGAAATAAGACCCTTCCCCCCAAAAAAAGAAAGATAAAAGGTGTCCACAGTAAAAGTTGCTATGTAAGATCTTATGTATGTCAAATTGTGTTTGTGTAGGTGTGCATAATAAGTGCATGCTAGAATGCCTGTCACATCGGTGTGCTAACTGAATTGAGTGATTAAAGATGATTCATTTATTTCAGTTTTTTTGGGGGGAGTACTTAGAACTTTCTACAATGAGCATGTGTGATTTATGCAACCAAAAACAACAACACAGCTGCTTTTGTTGTGTGGAAAATAACTTTTTGAATGAATTGCTATTTTTAGAGGGGACACAGAGAAAGGATTAGAAAAATTTCCCTTCATGGACCTAGTGAGAAGAATTGGTGCTTTCCTCACTGAGGTGTCAGTCAAATACAAGGAGAAAGTCAAAAAGAGGTGGATTCTGACAGTCTCTTGAGTGAGGGTCCTTCTCTTAGTACACTCCCTTTATTGGAAGCCCCAGTCAGGGTTTTTTTCTGGCTGTAGGCAAGATCTTAGTATTTTAGTTTGCATCTGGCACAACTGGGAGGTGATAGGGAGTTCAGACTCTTGATGGAAGCCTCAACCAAAACTTACTGGGATTTAGGGGGCAAATACCTGAGTTTTCTCGCCCCTGGGGATTATATAGACAGATCTCGGAAGATCCATAAGGCCCAGCCTCACCTGATTGCATCAGTGCCCCATGGACTGACATCTTTTTCCTGTCTCACTTTCCATTCCTATTCTGGTGCTTGTTGGGATCACTCTGCTCCTAAATTCTTGCCTTCAAATTCTTGTCACGAGTTTCAGAGAAAAACCAACCTGTGTCAGGACCCCAGCACTAACAGAGTTCCTTCCCATGACTGTGGACAAAGCAGCTGTTGTCTGCTTTCTTGTCTGCAAAGCATGAAAACAGAGCTCAGGAACCTCCCAGAAGTGGTATCTGAATGAATACTTAATGTTAGCTGTGGTGAAAAGAAAATGGTGAACAATGACAAAGAACCGCTTTCTCTTATTTCCCCACTCCGCTACTGAGTGAGGGACTCATGACGAAACGACCCATATCCCTGACTCATAGCCCTGCTTCACAAATGTGAAGTCGGCTAGTCACCAGAGCCGTAAGTGACAGATTCCCTCATGGAGTTCTGTCCTTGAGCAACAGCAGTCTTACCCACCCACTTCTCTCATCTGCAAGTCATCTTTCTGTTTCCTGAGCCAAATTTCAAAGGGCTTAAGCGGCTTTCCTATTTTACTCCCTCAATGTAGTGCAATTCAACGGCTCATGGGCTATGCAGCTGTCCTTGAGGGCATGTGGTAGATTTCATCCTTAATTGAAATACACACCAAATTGGCTGAATGGACCCTCCAGCTGAAGGCTAAGTAGACAATTGGGCTAAGAGCAAAGCGGGATGTTGCTGGAGTGAACGTGGACTTTTGTATGTTAGTTCCTCTGTCTGTAGAAGAAAAGCACATGGGGAGGCTGCCTTTGAAAACTAAACCTGTGGGCTGCAGGCATCTTTTACAGACTTTCTCCTCACGCATCACTGGCCGAATTTTCTTGAATTAAGGGCCTGGGGCAGTGTGACTGGTTCAAGTGAGAATGGGGATGGGAACTCGGAGACCGTTTTTGACTGAAAAGTTCTTAGAAAGAACCCACTCTGATAATGGGGGCAGTTCTCTGACATTTTCCCTTTTGCGTTTCCTTTTTTGAAAGAAACAACTGTTTATTAAAGTGTTTTAAAATCACTTGAATGTTGACTTCTAGCACATATCTTAATTTATGCTTAGAAATGCATTTCTAAGACCTGAATGGTGATTTGAACTAACATGAGTAGCATATATATCGTCCATATCTCCTAGAGAATGTGGCCTTGGGGAAGAAAGAGAGATGTAGCACCTGGATTTAATTTCAAATCTGTTATTTTCTAGTTAGGTGACTTTGGACAAATCACTTACTTTTATCTCTCACAAAGAGTAAAAATACCTATCTCACAGGGTTGTTGAAGATTACAAGAATTAAAGAGCACATTTTAATCCATACAGCACTATTATTTTCGCTAGCTTCCATTATTTATCTCAGATGCATTCTGGATATGTTGCCAGAATGCATCGTTGTAGGAAATCGTTGACTTCAGCTTTTCTTTCCATATAAAATAAATATATATTTTATGTTCATTCTTTTTAAAAATATTTTTTAAAGATTTATTTATTTGAAAGTCAGAATAACAGAGAGAGGGAGAGACAGAGAAAGACACACACACACACACACACACACAGAGATCTTCCATCAGCTGCTTCACTCACCAAATGGCCACAAACAGCCAGAGCTAAGCCAGGCTAGAGCCCGGAGCCAGGAGCTTCTCCGGGTTGCTTACATGGGTACAGAGCCCAAGGTCTTGGGCTATCTTCAGCTGCTGTCCCAGCTGCATTAGCAAGGAGCCTGCAGTGGAACAGCTGGGATTAGAACCAGCGTTCATATGGGATGCCTGCGCTACAGATTGCAGCTCTGTGCCACAACACTATCTTCGAAATTTCATTTTCTTCTTATATATGCCTTTTAAGATTTTTTCAAATTGGTTTTAGAATACTTTGAAATATAGAACATGAATAAATGAATTTACTAAATTAACAAGTGGGTCATTCTATAGGACTATTAACCCAGTACTGTTAATAGCACTAACTAAATGTGCTAAGCAAACAAGGGCAGAAGAAAAGTCTTAGCTCATGTTCTTGCTTTAAAAATGGCAGCATGTTCTATGAAATAACTGAACAGAAAAACATAATTCTATTGTCTCTTTTCCAAGTTCTGCTTTAAAATCATTAACTGTTCAAGTGTGTGAGCCAAGGTTTTAAAAAAGATGATTAATGAATTTAAGAACTTCTGTTATTAACATTCTTCAGAAGTGAGTTGCCCTAACCAAAGTACAATAGTTTTTTGGTAAACTCTGCTTCCTGTCGAAAAGAATGAAAATCAACTCAGCAACATAATAGAAGAGTAAATCAGATGCACATTTCCTTGAAGACGAGTTTCTCCTTCTCTTGTTTCTTATTGTTGTTTGAACTGTCTGCACCTGCTGTCTTTATACCTTGGCAATGAATTTTATGGACCTCAGAGTGACAGAAATCTTAACAGTTTTGATTGTCACCTCCTGTGAAGGGCAGTGGTTTGGGGAGAATGAAAAAAACATATCTAGGTTGGTTTACCAGGAGTATACCCGGTTATAAAGATTTGGTTTGTACTTAACCTTCTGTGTCCACTGGAGGATGCCCCACGAAGAGATTGTAAGCCATATGCCTTTTCTTGAGAGTGGAGAAACAGACAGCTCTTCTGCTACTAGCGATCTAATGAAGTGGTTTTTTATAAGGTCACCAATGAGGTTTTCATTTAAAATCTAGGACTTTACTCCAAACGCCAAGATACTTAAATTCATTAGCCATTTTCAAAGAGGCATGTAGTAAACAGGAAGTGCTCTAATGAAACCGGGCATACAGTGTCCATCTCAGTACTCAGGTCACATGAGATTTGAATAGTTTCCTCTAGACTTTACAGAGAGGGACATAGTAGTGTTAAACTGAATAAAGATAAAAGAATGAAATTATTCAAAGAAAAAGCCTCAGGGAAAGTGGTGACAGACCAAAAAAATCAGTGGGAGATTAGTCATGTGTGTGTGTGTGTGTGTGTGTGTGTCTGTGTTGGGACAAATACTTCACTAGTTTGAGCATCATACAAGCATGTTTAATTCCAAACATCTGAACCCAGTATGCATGTCCAAACAATGGTCAAAATTTGGATAGGTTGAATGGAAAAAAAAAACAGCTTAAAGTTGAATCTGGCTAATTAAAATAGTACATATCAAATTCTGAAATGAAAAATGAAAACTGACCATTATCTTGGTTTAAACTTGCAGCTCCTGGCTAAGCACAAAGGCTTGCAATGGAACAAAGTTCTGCGACTGGAGGAGGTACAGGCCCAGCTAGGGATTAGTCTGGAAGAAATGCTCTCAGTCACAGAGGATGCCCTTCACTCTGACCCCTATAGCCCTGAGGAGATCTGCATGTGTCTGGGTATTAGCCTGGATGAACTCCGAACCCAGATCCTGAGTCAAAACACTCGAGATGGTGAGTTTGCTAGAAAAACCAGGGTGTGAGCTGTCCTCATTTATAGCTGGAATGTTTTCCCACTTCCCCATGGATTCTATTGGATTGTAAGGCATACTTGAGGGAATTTGGGGAATGCATACATACTTTGGGAAACTCAACTATCTAGATCCTTAGCTTTATATATTCATTCAAGTATCATAAACATTTCCTGGTGTGCTACATGCCAGGTATTTTGGTGAATAAAACATGATTCCTGCCCTCAAGAGGTTCATTATTTATTTATTTATTGATGAGAGAGAGAGAGAGAGAAGAGAGAACAAACATACTACTCTAGAATACCAGAGACCTTCATGGCTCAGATTGGAACTTATGGCCCAGCTGTTGCTTTTAAGTAATTTTGTTTTTATACCAGTACCATCACAAGATGAAATGAAGGCAAGGTAAATGTTGGAGGCACAGGATGGAGCCTTGAAACGTCTGTTCCTCTTAGAAGTGGAGGTTGTCTATTGATGGGGAGTCAATGTTAGGTGCAAGGACATTGCATTAAGATCCAGTTGTCCTTTGGAGTAGGGGTAGGTAGTGTGGGAGCTTGGCACGAAGATCCGCTTCAGGGTTCCAACTTTCATTCTATTAAGTTCAACTCTACAATTGCATCTTGAGGGACTACTGTGGGTATGCCTGAAAATTCATATCTTAAAGGCTGAAACTACTGCCGGCGCCGCGGCTCACTAGGCTAATCCTCCGCCTTGCGGCGCCAGCACACCGGGTTCTAGTCCCGGTTGGGGCACTGGATTCTGTCCCGGTTGCCCCTCTTCCAGGCCAGCTCTCTGCTGTGGCCAGGGAGTGAAGTGGAGATTAGCCCAAGTGCTTGGGCCCTGCACCCCATGGGAGACCAGGATAAGTACCTGGCTCCTGCCATTGGATCAGCGCGGTGCGCCAGCCGCAGTGCGCTGGCCGCGGCAGCCGTTGGAGGGTGAACCAACGGCAAAGGGAAGACCTTTCTCTCTGTCTCTCTCTCTCTCACTGTCCACTCTGCCTGTCAAAAAAAAAAAAAAAAAAAAAAAAAAAAAAAAGGCTGAAACTACTGACAACTTTGGGAGGGGGTAAAGTAATCATTTGAGGTTAGGGACTGGTTTCATTTGATGTCTAACATTGTCATATCCAGTTTAATTTTAGGAACAATTGTTGAGTCTCTATAACTGGGACAAGTGAACTATAGTCCACTATTAAAATTATACCTGATAAAAACTTTTGTGAAATAAACTTTTATTAAAATACCACCATGTATTTGCCATAGCTACTTTTGCACTACAATAGCAGAGTTGAGTAGTTGTGACATAGATTGAACAGGCTACAAAACCTAAAATGTTTACTATCTGGCCCTTTGTAGACAATGTTTGCTGACTTCCATTCTAAACATGTATTAGACCAAAGCTTACCTCAGTTTTCTCTTGAAAACAGGCATAAAAGGGATATAAAGGAGTAACCTATGTAATGTGCTAAGAACAGTGCTTGGTAATGGAGGTGCTCATAGAGGTGGGTGTGGTGGTGGAGGTGTAGGGAGATGAGAAAACAAAGAATTCAAAGCCAGCTTTACTAAGGAGATAGCAGTCAGCCAAAAGGTACATAAGAAATGGGAATTTTCTAAACAGACAAGCAATCAGAAAGAATTCAGGGCTGATAAAATAGCAACTACAGAGGCAGAGAGGTGTGAAAGAGGGTATATGCCCAAGGAACTACACATTTTTGAGTATATCTTAAAAATAATATACATACTAGAAAGTGAGATGATATTAAGCTGATAAAGACAGGCACAGATCACCAAAGGCCTTGTTAAATTCTTTGTGTGAATTTTATAGGTAATGGGGAAGTTAATAAAATTTTTATTGAATGAAGAAATTGTGTAGGGTAGACGTGGGATAGAGAGAGCTTCTAGGAGAATAGCCTTTCTGTTTTGACCTAAGACATTGTCTGATTTCTTTAATTCAGATAATAATATGTATTGATTTCTTGGGACTTGGTATTGTGCTAGAAATTGGCATACAAAGTTAAATAGACATGACTTTTACCTTGTAGTGACTAAGTGTCCAACGCACTCACAGTATTTAATGCCAGTTGTAATAAAAATATTTATCAAAATCTTAAAAATATGGAGTATAGAGTAGATAAATGCCTGAAGAATGTGGCTCTACTTTGAGCTGAATCCTTAGTTTGGAGGGATATTTCCCAAAGCATAATCCAATAGGAAGAGAAGAAATTGTTGTCTAAGCTAGGAGAGTTGCACACAACTATGAAGCTTGGGAGCTAAGTCAAGGATACACATTGGAGGATAAACAGAGGAATCTGTGAAGAACTAAATGAGGACTAAGGTAGAGAGTGGGCCAGGTGACATGATCCCTAGTTTAAAAAGGGGAGAATCTATTTGGAACATTTTTTGATGAGTGTCCAAACTGCTTAGAATTTGGGTGGCTTGGCTGCTTAGTTGTACTGTGTTGGACTGGATACAAACTTCAGTGCTTAGATTACCAGCTTTGCCTTTGTCCCTGTGCTGATAAGGGGTGGGGCAGTTGCTGAGTAATTTGTTTGGATATTGTGATCTCCAAAGTCATGAGTGGTAATCTTGGCTTTTGTTCAAGGACTGGGCACTGGCATAGATTGTTCTTTGGGAAGACACTTACAGTTGATAGTAAAACACACAGCTTGTTTACTTTATGGTTTACACATTACACTATTCACCCACATCATCCAATTTGAATCTCTCAACAACCCTTATCCTTATTTCACAGATGAGAAAACTGAGTTACATGATTGTTAAGCCTATAGATAATACACATTGCAGCCAGACTCCAGATCCTAGGCTTCTGAGTTACTTAATCCAATACTCTCTTCCTTTTTAGTTTTTCCAAAAATTTATTATTAATTTTTATTTATTTGAAAGACAGTGTGACAGTGAGAGAGAAAGAGGGAGGGAGGAAGAGAGGAAGACAGGGAGAGAGGGAGAGGAGAGAGGGAGGGGGGGGGAGAGGGAGAGAGAGAGAGATAGAGAGAGATTGATTGTCCATTGGTTCATTCCCCAAATGCCTACAACAGTTAGGACTGTGCCAGGCAGAAGCCAGGAGCCAGGAACCCTCTCTGGGTCTCCCACATGGGTGGCAGGGACCCAAACACTTGAACTGTCATATGTTCCTTTTCTGGGATGCATATTGGCAGGAAGCTGTATCAGAAGTAGAGGAGAAACTCAAACCCAGGCCCTCTGATATGGGATGCCAGCATCCCACAAGTTGGCCTACCTTGTGCTGCACCACAACAGCTGACCCTAGCTTGTATTTTTTTTTTTTTTTTAGTTTTACATCTTGTATATTTGTAAGTTGGCTTTGGCAGTCCCTTACCAAATAAGGGAGATATTGTCTAATTTTGAATTTGCTTGGCTCTAATTGCACAAACTCCTTAACAAGGAGTTTTTGCATTTTTTCTTTCTTTTCTAAATATTTATTCATTTATTTGAAAGTCAGCGTTACACAGAGAGAGGAGAGGTGGGGAGAGAGAGAGAGAGAGAGAGAGAGGTCTTCCATATGATGGTTCACTCCCCAATTGGCTGCAATGGCCAGAGCTGTGCTGATCTGAAGCCAGGAGCCAGGAGCTTCTTCCTGGTCTCCCACATGGGTGCAGGGGCCCAAAAGCTTGGGCCATCTTCTAATGCTTTCTCAGGCCATAGCAGAAAGCTGGACAGGAAGTGGAGCAGCCGGGTCTCAAACTGGCACCCATATGGGATTGGTGCTTCAGCCCAGGGTGTTAACCTGCTGCACCACAGCACCGGCTCCTGCGTTTTATCTTGAGACTAAAGATAGATGATGAAAATAGGCTGCTTTGCAGATAGTTTCTTTTCGACTACTTTTGATTCTGGCATTTGGACCTTAGAAGAGGTAGGGCTGCATGGCAGCCAGAGCTCATTTTGCGTGAGGATAACTCGGGTTGTGGTGTTCAAGGGCTGTGAGAACTGATAGGGAATTTTCACTTTGGTAGGAAATGTGGTTCTCCTGCCAGTGTTGTGGCACAGTGGATTAAGCCACTGCTTGCAAAGCTGGTTCTTAGTCCTTGCTGCTCTGCTTCTGATCCAGCTCCTTGCTAATGTGCCTGAGGAGGCAGCAGAGGATATCCCAAGTACTTGGGCCCCTGCTGCCCATTTAGGAGACTCAGACGTATTTCCAGATTCTTGATTTTGGCCTGGCCTAGCCCTGGCCACTGTGGCCATTTGGGGAGTGAACCAGCAGATGGAAGATTCTTTCTCTGTCTCAATCTCTCTCTCTGTGTTTGGTATCTCCCTCTCTATCACTCTGCCCTTCCAATACATGCATACATATGCACATATTTTTTTAAAAATATAGTTCTTGTAGATTATCTCTGTTAAGTCTGTGAAGGGTAGTTTGTTTTGATCCACTTGAAAATTGTCATGGTACTTTACAGTATACATCCAGTCAGTTTTTTTAAAAGTTTAAGTTTCTAGCTAATTGTTCTCAGATATCAGAGAAACTAATTTAAAAATCAGACATCAAGTTCTAAACTCCGTGATGTTGGGGTGGGTGACCTACTCCTTAAGGCACTCGTGTCCCACTACAGAGTGCCTGGGTTTGATTCCCAGTTCTGACTCCTGACTCCTCCTTCCTACCCTTGCAGAGCCTAGGAGGAAGAAGTGTTGGCGCAAGTAGTTGGGTCCCCACCCCCTACATGGGAGATCTGAATTGATCCTGGTTCCCAGCTTTCTTCTGGCTCAGCCACAGTCACTGGGGGCATTTTGGGGGTAAACCAGTGGATGGGAGCTTTCTCTATATCTCTATTAAAAAAATGGAAACAAAGCCTTCTATTGTTTCAAGAGAGTGAATTGTTCGTGTATAAATTTTTGAAAAATTTCTCATTAAAAGAAATCCAAAGGAGTTTACAGATGTTGGTTGAGCAGAAATCCTTAAAATCTGCATGAAAGACTTCTAATAATAAGGCCAAATGAAATGTGTGCTTTGGTT